ACCAAAGGAAATTTTCACAACATTTACTTTGCAACTCTTTACTCCTGATTTTGTGAAATATCAGGTATTACAGCACAGTGCGCAGTCGTTCTGTTGCTCTGTCGCTCTGTGTTGCAGTCTGTCTGTCTTTAATCATGCCCAGGGGCCCTCTTAGGGATGTCAGTCACAGCTCCATATATTGCCTACCACATTCATAATGTGCTCTTATGACTAACTAGAGTCCGTGCAGACAGGTCCCATACATACACGACGGTCAGTTGGCTTACACAGCTGTGTAATGTTACTCTAAAACTGCAGAGCAGACTCAGGAAAAAGGAGACATCAGAGCTCTGATGAAGGCTTTCTGCTGAGATGCAGATTTGTCTGTTAATTCTAAATCAAGCTCACCAGTGTGATCGAGACATGTGGTGATGCTTAACTATTTTATCACCACTGGTGTGCTGCTTTTCACAAATCTATGTCGAGCAAAATAAAAATACCACAGTTGGTTTTTTTTTAAACCAGCTGAAACCAAAGAAGCACACCGCACCTCATCTAGAAACGGGGTGAAATCATGACATAAATAAAAATTGAGCTTGTTGGTATCAAACATGGTCAGTGCAGCTCCTCTTATCTTGTTCAAAACAGTGACGTCGGTGTGAATAGTTGGAGTTCAGCTTTTCCTGAGAGGATATATTATGAACTGAGAGGTGTAGAGTCTCACATACAAATATACAGCGAGTATTTTAAGTTCAATTTACCTTTGCAGATATGTGAGAGCCCTGTCGCTGTGCTTTTAGTTCAATTTTACTTTACTACACAAAAATAAATTCAACTAATTTCCTTTTTATTAATTTATCTAAACTAAGAAAAGACGTGGTTATGAATAGTATTCAGTGTATGTAACAAACTGATTTTTTTTAATCTTTTTTTTAATTTTACATGCAGAGTTAATTTTTAGTTCTGCATTCAATTAGAGTTGTTCTGTTTACATGTAGAAATAATAACGTTTTACTGCCAATACTAGGAACAAATCAATGATCTGATTAAGCCTGCACAAACTCAAAATTTCCCATAATGATCCTGTTTACTATCCACACATAATGGTAGTATTTTTCTCTCCATAATAGCTGCTGTAATTGTTTCCTGTCCCACAACAATAACATAGTTATGACTACCACATCATGCTCTTCGTCACAGCCGCAGTCATCAATTGCTGTTAAAAATGTAATGCTTCTTAACGGTGGTCCGACCTGTCTGATGTGCACAAGAGCACGGATGTGAGTGGTTATTTTGCAGGAGCCTTATACATCAATGATTTATTCAAGGTAAGTGGATGCACATATTGAGCCTATACCTCTGAAAGGAGAGGATCAATCCAATCTCATACAGGATGCAAACTGTGGATGCCAGTAAGCAATCAGACTATTACTATTACTACCATAATGTCATTACTACCAAAACTGAACTGAAACTCTATCCTTGTTCCACATCCAGACGTGGCTACTCGTTAAAAAACAGGTGGTCTGAGGAGATGTGTCCGTCTTAATGTAACACCAAAAATATACATTCTATTTGTGGTGCCTATCCTCCTATCAGGGCCCATGGTGAATCACCAAATACCAAGAGTGTGTTGAGGGGGGAAAACTCTCACTGGAGTTCAAGGAAACATCACCTCTACCTGTGAAATGATGCGTCCAGGCACACACACTGATCGACCCTAGATAAGTGCCCTTTTTGCACTTATTACATTTTTCTAATCTTCATATTTTAAAGTCCTTGGCAACAATTCTCATTTAAAAACATGTTGTAACACCTGACAACTGCATTTGAGTTTTAATTCTGCGAGCCCCAGTACCTCCTTCTTTGACTTCCCTTGTCACAGCCACCATAGTAAACACATGTAAATCGAGTGCCCTGTAGAGCAGCATCCACGTCTCCTTGACCTGCCTTCACTGGTACAGGCTGTTCTCATGCACTATTTGTATGCATACCTACAAAAGGTAATGCACCACCATTCATGTACAACCCACATAATCAGGAAGACTGTGATAATGTGACCAATGCACTGATGAGAGGAAACACAGAAGTAGTATAAAGCCCTGATGCGAGGGCCACTAGTAAAAAAAACACTTGCTGCGCCATTTTATTGTGTCCAGGCAACTACTCCATCGCATCCTCACACTAACCTTCCTGTGTTATCAATCTACCGCATCTTTTATTTCATAGTAATTAGCGGTGAGTTCCTAAAATGTTCAGGCAGAGGGTACCTGCTCTAGCTCTGGTTGAGGGTCAGAGGCTGTCGGCAAATAGTTTTTTTGGGTGCAGGGAAACTGAGATTTGGGTGGGTGCATGAGACCCTAAAAAAGAGGGTGGATTAAAGGGAGCCTGGTCCAGGTGCTTCACCTCGATGATGGCCATTTCCAGGCATATTTTAGGATGACTCGGGGGCAGTCTGACAACCTGCTGTCTAACGTCGAGTCGTATAGGTCTGGGTATCCAGCAACCGCTACCACCAGTTTCTCCTCCATTGTTTACCAACTGTAAACTTGTTGTCTTGACCACCGCAGAAGGTCATCTCATTGGACAATGAAAAAAAAAAAAAAAAATTTGATTAAAAAAAAGAGATGACATGGAGCACTTGTCTGCTTTGAGTGGAAGTTTTTTTAACCTTGAGGAGTTCTGAATGCTGCAGCAAATACGGCAGGCACCTGGAGTGCAGAAACGCGAGGTGTGTCACAGTGCAAAAAACATGAGCAAAACACTTAATTCTCATTTAAAACAATTACAAAAAGCCGCCTCCAAAAACGCTTTCTGTGTGATCAGGGCCTGGAGAGCAAAAAGTTTGCGTGAGGAGTCCCCTTTAACCCCTAACCTTCACCCTCTAACCCTCATCCCTGTGAGTTATTTTAAGGTACGTCTTCACCATGTTTCTTTTCCTGAACCTAACCTACATAACTTTACTTGTCTGAACCTAAAGACGTCTAACCATGTTTCTTATTCTAAACCTAACCTACGTAACTTTATGTTAAGTATGTAACTTTATGTTACATATGACGTCATTTGTTTGTCTCTGTTAAACCACAACGTATGAGTGTATGGGTATGAAGTAAATAAATAGGTAAGTACGTGAAAGATATGCTACTGTATGTGCCTTTTTTATTATTATCAATGATTATGAGAGGGGTGCCCTTTATTTCACCCGAGCACCTGACCCCCAAAATGTCTGTGCATGGCCCTGCACAGGACCCTACAAGTGAAATATTCTTGTCACATTAGCCAAATCTGAAGTGTGACAGTCTACGTTGTTAGGTCTCTTTAACTCATGAGCTGCGTGCATGAAGGAAGAATGACAAATCAAAATCAATTAAAAATCATTTCCCAATAATAATTTCCGCTGATCCTTGCAATCGGAAAGCAGCCAAGTACAAATATCAGTATGTCTTCAGTTGTGAAAAACGATTCTCTCTGAGGTACATTATGTAAATCTAAGAGCCAAACAAAAACATCCTTGAACTTTAAAGCAAGATATCATGTTAAATATACCTTTAATGCTCCAATAGGCATCGCTGTCATTGCTGAGCATCAGTTTGCTATGTTTGGGGCTATGTACAGTGTGTGCCTGCGAGTGGTTACTTGGCAACGTTCAAACAGTTGTTCTCGTCGGGATCTCATCTCATCCCTTTTCTTTTTTTTGTTCTCTGTGTGAAGCTAACGGGAGAAACAAAGGGTTACAGGGTCCTGATAATTACTGCCGTCCTCTCACAAGGTGGAAAAGGGATTTAAGTCATGTGACTCTCTTGTTAAGCCTGCCACTGTGTTACATAACATCCCCAAAATGTGTATGGGTGTATGCGCGTGTGCATGGGTGCATTTGTGTCTGTCAGTATGTGAATGAATGTGTGTGACTGCTGCTAACAATCAGTGAAGTCATGATAGATGATTGTTTGTGTCACCTCACTGGATGAAGTCATACTCTCTGCCCTGATCTGGACGCTGGCTGGCACACACACATGCACAGGATTCCCTTTGACACTGAGAGTCAGTAATCTAAGAAATATGCTAAAAAAAAGTACACATTGCAATGTGCATGTGTGTAAAATGGGATTTTAAAATGTCTGGTTGTCAAAAAAGAATGTCATGTGAACTCTTTTAAGAATAGAGTGGTTAGTTTGAGCAGCAGCTCAGTAAGCAAACTTCACACAAACACAACTTGAGAGCAAAGTCCCTCGAGGTTAATGCTATACCCCCTACCACACAAGCACACATGTACACTCACACACACACACACACACACACACACACACACACACACACACTCACGCACAAACACCACACGTTCCTCGTCAGTCACATTAACCATTCACATCCGCCAGTGGTCCCTGCCTCCCCCCTTTGCCCCCAGGATAAAATCTAACACCCCCAAAATAACCTGGTGAGTTATAAGAGTCAGCAGGGCCCTCATCCAACCTGCCCTTTTAATAGAAACAAAAGGCAATTACCCCGGTATCCCTAAGAGTTAATTTAAGATGCTAAAGGTGGTTTGCTTCCCTTTGTAGTCTAATCTCTAAATTAATAAACTGACATGCCACAGACAGTATTACGTTACACTCTATTAGTAGGATGGACGACGTCCTGTCCAGTCAGTGGTGTGTGTGGTTTTTTTAAGGATGCTGGTTCTGGAGGCCGTTTTTTTCCTCAGCTCAAACACAAACAAACACGAGGGGGGTGGTAAGAAAACACAACAACATCCACAGGGCTTCCCTCACGCCCTGGGATTCACGCCACACATCGTATACCCACTGATGCGGGGTCAGATTTCCCGAGCCCTTGTGCTAACCCTGCGCCAATGGCAAGTGTGGAAAAACAGCTGACGATGTGTCATTCAAAAGATTTACAAAGGTCTTTTTTCTTGTAACAGGCCAAGGTGTAAAGAAGAACTACGACTCCACTTTTGCTAATGACAGCGAGAGTAAATCTCAGTTGATGCAAAAGATTCATTCCAACCGTGACCTTCTCACCTGATGAGCCCAGGAAGTAACGTTCCAGGGCAGAGCCGAAGCCTGAGGGATTGTCCTTAAGATCGCTCACGATGAAGGGCTGTGTGGTGGCGTTCTGGTCGTTGATCGGCCAGGTCTGACCCCGGACGCTGGCGCCACCGTACCAGGACACGTTGGTCATGGAGAAGCAGTCCTGAAAAGATAGGCACGTACACAAAAACAGTGTGAAGGAGAAAGACACATAGAGAAAGAGACAGACAGGTTTACATACATCAAGACAGACTAAAAACAGCAATATGAAATTGATGCTGACAAAGAAAAGGAAAATATACATAAGAAATTAGTGGTAGAGTTAAGATTAAAAGTTAATAGATGGTAGAAGAAAATGCAAGTTTTATTAATTTCTGAGACAACTCAAATGCTTTAAGTGGACTTAAGCGTGAATGGGGTATCTGAATTTCATTTATGAGTGGGTATAAGATGACTCTGACTGTCCGTTAATCGAAATCAGAATCAGCTTTATTGGCCAATAAAAGGAATTTGACTCAGTTTTTTGTTACTCTCAATGCATCTGCATAGAAATTGACACAACAGCTAAAAGCAAGGACAACAAAGCTGAACAAGATAAACATAAACATTTCACAGTAAGTACAAATATAAAAAAAGTCTATCTATATCAATATGTATGTACTGATTTTGTATGAGTTGACATATGTGTTGATTTTGGGGAGGAGGCAGGGGACATGTCAATATTCAGTAGGAAACAAATACATCCACACACCAAGCAGCTCCTGTTGGAAGCATTTTGATGCATTTTGAGCCAAAGGCTCTTCCTCTGACGTCCTTTATATTTAGAACATATGCATTCGCCCCTTCCAAAATAACTTTAAAGTGGCAGAGGTCTTTAATTTCAACAAATTGAAGACATTTACACCATACATTTGTGCAGAAATGGCACAAATTAGTGCATAAAAATCCCACAGAATGCAGAAAATTAAGTGTTTGATGCTCCAATTTTTTCTGCCGGGGACACCCAAACCCCCTGTTTTATATGTGTGCCCCCAAATGTTGACAGCAACATATGCTGACAGAAGATCAATGATGCAAAAGGTGCTGGAACAAATATGGAATTATTGATGTGACAGTTTGCTTTATCTACACGAGGAAGCTGGATTTGGGAGTATATCCAGCCTGCTTTTATTCATATTGACAGTAATGATATTTACATGTTAAAAAACACAGTGTGTGTAAACTATAAAGATACGTAATTTGCAGGTACAGTGGATGTTTGGTGTTACAGGGTTATTGACACTGTATGCCTGACGTTAACTGTTCATCATAGTGATGTCCTGTGGAAAGAAAGTGTTCTTGTGTCTGGATGTTTTGGCGTACAGTGTCCTGTAACGCCTTCCAGAGGGGGGAAGTTGGAACAGATTAAATGTTTCCAGTGCTATCACATTATGTACCTGATGTGCTGCAGTAGGGATGAATCTAATCTCTGACTGTAGTATGACTTCAGTGCAGAGCTGCATGGCACAGGGCTTGTAGGCTATGTGACGGCTGGCACATGAGACTGTCTCAGAGAGCATCGCACGCAGGAGGGATTGAATGACAGAGTGTTTTCTAAGAGAAAGTCTGTCCTTCCTCAAAGCGCCTTGACGCATGGGGGGTACAAATGCGCAAACCGGCAGCTCATTTATTTCACGTAAGCAAATCCGGGCTCTGCTAAGGAGTTTTAAAACAGGTGCCAAGTGGTCACCTGAGAGGCGCCGGGCAGGATTTTGGAAATTAGAAAAATAAAGGCGACTTTAGTTTGGAGAGATTTCCTGTGAGCAGTCGCGCCACATGACAGGGAGTTATGGCGAGGAATGTTCCAGTGGGGAGAGATTAACCTCCCCAAACATCCCAATAGTTAAATGCCTTTGATAATTAAGCTGTGGGGGGAAAGTACAGTAAGTACTGTGCATGTAAAGAAGCACAACAACTGTGACGAGGCAGATTTAACACGAATGGAGTCCGCTCAGGGCTGTAAAGAGGGAAAGGATGAGGGGATCACGCAAACTATTTATTTATTTTTTGGTCTATTACATCATGTAAGCTCAAATGAGTCACTCATGCGTCATGGTTGTGTTTTGTTTCAAGTAATTTAATAGGTTGTCATAGTTTTAGAAATTTAATTTCAACAAAATTAAATTAAAACGACATTTAAAATAAACATAAATTGTAGTATTTTTGTATCCGAACATATGAGCCAAGTTATGGATTATACGCCTTCATCTGCTGCATCTGAGCCACTTATTTAATTCAGTTCAGTCTTTTGTGATTTAATAATTTTATATGACCAGGTGGTGATTAAAATCATGTACATTTAAGTAGACCACTTATATAAAACAGACAAAACGTCCTGTAACTTATTTGTATGAGAAAATACGCATAATGTGCTTTTAGATTTAAAACGTGAACATGGGCCTTCAAATTTATGGTTTGTTGTGCACCAATGCGCACAATCATATGCCAATTAACACTGCGTAAACTGGAAATTAAGGCGTGAAATTTCCACGTGCAAAACTGCTTTTTTGCGCATCACATTGTGCGTAAAAGTGCATTTTGATGACATTCTGCTTGTGTTTTTGGCTCTTGAGTCCACACCGAGAGACACCCTACCTTCAGCTCCACATGACAGTGCACCGGCGCCCAAGTCATACTGTAGCACTCCGTCTCCGTCTCCTCATTCACCTCCAGCGAGATCTTCACCTCGGCCACCGAGTCCCACGTATAGCAGAACTCCGTTTTATTCAACCAGCACAGGTTCCTCACGAAGGGAACCTCGATGTCGGGGTTCCCCACGTTCCCGACGTCTATCTCCACATAGGTCTTGTCCTCCGTCAGGGTCTGTATGACCAGCGAGTGGGTTCTTCTCTCCCAGATCAGTCCGCTAAAAGTCCCCCTGAGGATCCAGTTCTTGTTAGGCTGGTCCACCACTTGCCAATATATGATCCCGATGGTCATGACAAAGAAGACGGCCACTCCGAGACAGGCTATAGCTCCTTTCCAGGTCTCGTTCATCTCTTTCAGCCCCGTGTCCCATGTTACCTCTGGGATGGGGCTGGGGTTCCTATTTCGAGCGTGGGGCATGTTGTCTTTGAGATCAGCAAAGAATCAAACACAAAAAATGCTGCAGAAATCTCTGTGCGTCAAAAAGCTCTGCTGCTTCATCATGTCATGGTGTTTCCAGTGAGGCTACAGGGTAAACCAGCCTACTCTTTATCTTTGCACCGTTTACACTGTTGATGTTGTTTTTTTGCGCAATTGTGCCAGCAACAGAGACCTGTCATGTGAAGAAAGCTGTGAGAATAAAATCCCAGCGAGGAAATAAAACAGTATGAATGAATAAGTGACTTACCACATACTCCTGCTGTTTTAAAAGAGTTGCATTTGTAAATTGCATTGGCTGCAGTGAGCTCGTGAGCAGCCCCAAGCCGGGTTTGGCAGCAATGCCTACGAATAGCTCCTAAGACGCTGACTTGCTTGCCCTGCACTTTCTGACGTAACGCCGGGTTGTTTCTTCAGAGGAAAGGTAGAGAGAGGGAAATGGGGGATCAAGAGGGTTTGGCTGAGTCTTGGAACAGCCCGCCCGGGCGAGGAGGCCACGGACAGCCTGGAAGGGAGGGATCCCCATGCGTGCTTGCAAACTCTCCGTGCGCTCTCCGTGCGTAAAGACTGTGGAGACTTGTCATCTGGTGGTTTGGTGGACGGATCAGGGGCGTCAATTGGGCATGGCAAGGTCGGGACACTTGCCATTTGATCTTGTGGTGTTTCACATCTTAAAGTAGCACAAGGAGTGATGTCTGATTCCAAAATGAGAAGTAGGCTACAACTGAGCAGTGGAACATTTAAAACCAATGCTGTATTCCTGTCATGTGGGTTTAATGGAATTGGCTAAATCTTATTGAATAATTAATTAAACTGAGGTTAACAGGAGGTTAATTATACATTAACAGTGATTAATAATTAATTAAAATGTCCAATAAATTAAAGAAATAGTTGGTCTAAACATTTACGTTGGGTCAAGGGACTGCATGTAGAAGACAGACTGGCTTTGAGACAGTTTGGATGAAGTGCTCATCATCCAGGAAACATCTCTGCTGAACTTCCATGGCCAACGCTCTCTGCTATAGCTCACCTTTATCAAGTATCTACAACCAAAATCAAGTATTATATTTGTGATTTTAGATTTACCCCATTTATCCAGATTAAATGGTGTAAAAAGCTGTGTTTGTCTAACCTTTCTTTTATTGTCCATTTTCTGCATTTCCCTTAGTGGCTGTGTTTTTATTTTATTTTTTTAGATACATATGACACTGACAACATTATGCCACAACACTGACAGACGTCTTATTAAAATGATGCTAAACCTGAAAGGAAACTGAGCTGTTAGAATCATTAACTATTGCAGCAAATTTAGGACGTAATCTGCAGCTCAACATGTTGCAGCACTTGTTTAGCCAAAGCATTAAGTAAAGTATCCAAAATTTTGTATGTAACTGCTTCAGGAGAATCACATAGGACAGAAAATAAAATGTGAAGCAATGCAAGAATCTGTGGTGCATTCAGGGTGTGTTGTGATAATATATTATAGGCTGTGCGCTGTTTAATGGTCTGCGTGTCTCATGTGGAGTGCAGAAGACATTTGAGGGCAGGAATGTTGTTTATGAGCACCTCAAGGGTGGCAGGGGGTGGTGTGATTGGTCTAAGGTGGCATTCATTGCCATTTGGACTGTCAACATCTATTGTGTCTGGAGTTATAATGTCAACATACTATAGGTGGTCGAGTGTTTGACAACAGACATGCAAAGTCATTGTTCATGGATGAATGACACAAAGCTTGACTCTTAGCTCTCACAGAAGCGTATCCTTCACCATAACTTTCCGAAACCTAAACTCTATACAGCTTGTGTTGACTCATTTTAATCCTGTGTCACTATTCATTTATTTCAACACAGTTCTTACTGTAACATGGTCATGGCTCTATTGGTATCCAACGACAACCTTATCGGACCCAAAAATAAGACAAGAGGAATCATGGCTTGAACAATGTTGTTGTGTTTGTAGGGTTAAAGTCTCTTCCGCGGTGCTGTGCACAAGATATCCCAAGAGTGTCGGCTGACATACCTTGAAGATCAGTTGCCCCTGTCCCAGTTTATGCATGTCAGCCCCCCAGTCTCCGATCCATCACATAGCTCTGGCAGGGGCAGAGACACTGGATAAGGCTGTGGGAACCTGTGCGAGCACTCTACCTAATCGCCCCGCTCCTACTGCAGTTGCTTTCAAAATCTTTGGAAATCAGACCATGATCGTGTACGGCTTTGTGCCAAGCTTTTAAGATGAAACAAGACTGACAAATCAGTTGTTAATTTGTTTTTTGCAGGAAACAAACAGTGCTTCTATCTGCACACAAAAAGTAAGTGAATGAAAGACAAAGAAGCCACACAGTCAGTTAGTGTGATAGTCTCTCTCAGTGAAAGAGGGCACAGAGTACTTAGCATCTTTGGTGACATACAACATACAGCTCTTTTCCACAAACTGTTGCACTGTGCATTTGTGTGCATGTATATGTACTGTAAATGAATAAGCGCTAGCATGTGTCCTGCGTGCATGCTTGCACTCGGAACCCTGAAATTCAAGTTCAGCGTGGGCCTTGTGGCAGCCAGGCTCCTGGGTCAGAGGTCAGACTTATGACATCAACGGAACATCCAGGGGGGAGGGTCTAAATTTACACGCCATCCAGATTGCCCCCCGACTCCATCCCTCGCGGCTATTAATAGGCAGAGGACTGCTGGGTGGCATGCACCCGCTCCCTCCGAGAGTGTGAACATGGGACATGAAAAAACAGAGGAATCTGACCTGAACTGGCCACTACCTCTGACCACTCATTTAGTGTTGATGGCAAAGGGGCAAGGGTTTAATTAGGTGTGGGGTGGAATGGCTAATGGTTTATGTTTTGTGTGTCAAGTCGACTGCTTCATTCAGGATAGAGAAACTTAAAGGGACAGTTTACCCCGAAATCAAACAAACAATTTTTTCCTCTTACCTGTAGTACTGTTTATGAATCTAGATTGTTTTGGTGTGAGTTGCAGAATGTTGGCGATATCAGCTGTAGAGATGCTGTCTCCCGAATATAATGGAACTAAATGACACCTTGTGGTGCTCAAAGTGCCAAAAAAAATACACTAAAAAACTCAACAGCAATGTCTCTTTCCAGAAATCATGACCAGGTAGTTCAAGATAATCCACAGACCTTGTTGTGAGCAGTTTCAAGTAGGAACTATTTTCTGTCTACCAAACTACACCTGCCAACTGTATCACCGCGTGGAAGGAAGCGTGCATCTACTCATGGAGAAGGAGTTTGTGATACTGCAAGATGTAAACATCAATGGCATCCTCCTCGGCTGAGCTGGAATGTTAGCTACCTAAGTGGTGCTTCATGAGCTAGCAGTAGATGCACGCCTCCTTCTGCATGGTGATATGGTTGGCAGGAGTGGTTCTGTGGAAAGAAAATAGTTCCTACATGAAACTGCTCACAACAAGGTCTATGGATTATCTTGAGTAACCAGGTCACAAGTTTTTCAAATGTATGTTTTGGCGCTTTGAGCACCACAAGCCAAGTGCCATTTAATTCTATTATATTCAAGAGAAGGCAGACATCTCTAGGGCTGATATCTTAACCACTCTGAAACTCACACCGAAACAATTTGGACTTATACACAACTTTACAGGTGAGAGGAAAATGTTGTATTTGTTATTTTGGGGTGAACTGTCCCTTTATATTGTGGCAATTATTGAAAACTTTTTGTAATTAACTACCTTAGCGAGTTAGCATGCTAATATTTGGTTATGAGAACAACTGATGCTGATGAGAATGTTATTAGTTTTGCAGGTACTTTATCATGACCCAAAGAATGAAAATGTTGACCAGAAATACACTAAATAAAAATAAATAAATACAAAAGAAGTCAGGGGATCATGGTTACTATTGTCTGGGAACCATGTCTGTACAAATATTTGTGCCAACCCTTCTCAGTGTCGAGATATTTAAATGGATAAATGAAGAGTTTGACCAGCTGGCAGCAATAGGTGACAAATTAGTGGATCACCACACTCACTGGGATTCATGCTCTGGGCACTGGGAATGTCTGTACCAAAATTCATGCCAATCCATCCAATAGTTGTTGAGCTCATTCAGTCTGGACCAAAGCAGTCTGCAGAGCCATGCCATAAGGGTCGCTAAAAATGTAAGTATAGATCGACTGACTTGTTCAGTGACCCCTGATAGACAACAAGCTACTGAGGCCTTGTGAGTCTTATATCTCTGAAACATCTGCTACAGATTGTCAACGGAGGATGAGAATGGTTTTATAAACAACTGCTGCCAAAAATGATAATTGGCTCCCCCGACACAGTTCTGCCTCATCCCTGATTGTGGTACATAACACACACAACATACTGCAGCCCAAGCCTACTGTATGAGCCTTGCCTGTGACAGCAGACGCTAACAGGCCACTGTTGAATCGGATCTGGACTTTCACTAATTGCTTTCTCGGTCTTTGATCATGTTCCTGTACCTGCTCTTCATCCACTTCTCTGTAGCTCTATGCAATAAAGTAAGGTGCTGCAGATGGTATAAACTCTGGATTAGGTGTTTTGCATACAAAGTCTTAAAAACACAAGTTATCATTATCATGTTGTTTAGCTGAGCAACTATTTATGGAAATGATTCGAAGCATCAGTATGGTCCATTCTTCATGGAAGGACGAAGTGGCTTCGGAGGGAAACACTTAAACAGTCCAGTTACATGCAAAACTATTCACTTCAACTGACAAACTTTTCCATCTTTGCGTCTGGATCTTCAATTTACCGTTTCCCTTTTTTCTTCTCCAGGATATTCAATACCGACAACTTCTCCGGCTGCCTGAGAGTCGGAGGGGGAAAGTTTCCATGCGGCCCCAGTGCCCGCTCTTGGCGGGACAATCCCGCTGTAGACCGAACTGTTTCCGTCAATCCACCTCTGCTGTTAGAGCGCTCCCCCCTCTCCCCCTTACTTTCTCCCTTTTTATACTGTGACACAAACAGCCACTTTCCACTGCCCCAGACCTGAACCGTCATTCCAGCTCTCTTTCTTAGTCTCTCTCACACACGCACAAGTTAAGTCTCACTTAGTTGGAAGTATCCTGAGGACATTGCTGAGTGTCTGAATTAAAATAAATTGATTGCTGATGGAACGCAACATTAACCAGGGGCGTAAATACAGACAGTGCAGGCAGTGCAACTGCACTGGGGCCCCTGGGGTGGAGGGGCCCATCAAGAGAGTGGGGCCTTGCAAGTGATTCAGATGGCCACCTTGGAAATATAGCTGTGTTCAAAGATAAATGATAATAAAAAGAATAATATTAATTTTAAAAAATGGTGCCATTTGCTATATATCTCCTCAAAAAGGCAAACTCATCTGCATCATGGTTTTCTTTATTCTTTATATTTCTATATAGTCAGTTGCTATGTAAAACAAAATTATATGCTTTATATAAGTATAAAATATAGAAATATACTATAGAAACTATCAAATTAAATTATGAAATCATTTCTTACTTTCTTTTATATTTTGTCAGATATGCAATGATGATTGCTGGGTACTATGTGTGCTGATGTTGTCCAATGTCAGGTCTCTATTTGTGTAAAGACAATACACGCATGATAGTGTGCACTATGGCCTGTCAAAATATTGTGCACCGGGGCATGTCGTAACTTCCTTATGCCACTGACATGAACTTTACA